AACCTTCGTTACTTTCCGCCCTTCCGAACTTCGTGTTTGTGGGCCATATTTGAATAACTATTCATATCGTGGTAAATGTTTTCATATCATCTTAAAGTAAGCACACACACACACACATAAATTGTGTCTACTTTGTCAACCACCAATGAGTATAAATCTTTAATTTCTAAAAAATATCAAACAAAGTTCACATTTTCACATTTACAAGAAGATAAACTTTTGTTCAGTCTACAAATATGACAGTTGGAGCAATTATGTTATGGACATGAATCGTAAAAGCCAAGAATTGCAAACCTGTTGACATATCAATCCCGCTCCCAAACATAAAGTATTAAGATTTATATTCGACATCAAACTTTTGAGTTAATCCCTCAAGAAATTGGATAAAAGATGTGAATGGACTCATCTGGAGAAAATGTTCACTTGGAAGCAGGATATGATGGAATAAATAATCAGAGTTCCTGTTACTGTTTGTCTTACCATATACAATGATATCCCAGGTGAAATACTCCAGGAATATCTAACACATATTATATTTGGGATAACACTTTCTGAGTAAAGTACAGATTCTCTGTTTTGGGTTGATTCCCGTCCGGGATTCGAACCCACACGTGTACGTGATCCAGACTACCAGTTGTCGAAGTTTCAAATTTGTGGAAGCCTCGGTGGCTGAGTGTGTTAGATCGCTGACTTTGTATGCTGACGATTAGGTGCCGCACTCTTGCTTCGAATCCCAGACGGTACTCAACCCCAAAAAGTACGAGAATCTGTACTTTACTCAGAAAGTGTTATCCCAAATAAAACATGTGTTACATTTGACAACTTTCTCCATGGCATTGTGTGTTCACGAGGAATATTAATCAACTTAAAATCGGTATTTTAAGGGACATAACTCTGTCCCACATAGCGTCTTTGAGTGAATGTTATTTCATTGGGATAATACTTTACATTTGAGTAAATTCTCATTATTGAATTTTATACGTCTCCGAGCAGTGATAATCTGAGGAAGTGTACGCGTTATCACCAAAACTCACATGTACTGACCGTGAATTGTTGTACCCGAAACAACCGAGTAAGCGATTACATTACTATATTTATAAATATTAAAATAGACGCAGTTGATATGTCAAGTCATTCTTATATTGCCATGCATTTTTAACCTCATGTGTCGATACCAACTTGTCACTGAACTTACCATATGATTGAAGTGATGTTTTCCTTTTCTAGGCCTATTTCTGTAAATATTTATTCCCATTCAACAATGTTTGTGAGTATTTCGTGCGTGTTTGTAAGGAGGGAGATAATTGACTGATGTTCAGTGGCCGCGAACACAAGCGCCCGTGATGAAATATTGTGAAATCTATGAATGAAAAGTGTGTTAAGGGGAGTATCACTTGCGGGTCCATAGGGACACACATGTGCTGCAGTTACTCAACATGTGTAAGATTACACTCGTTATTTGAATGGACACCATGAGTTGTTTTAATCTCTCGGCCCAAACACGTTTTTAATTGACAGTATTGACAAAAGCTCACTGGAGTGAAACGTTTATTTAGAATCAAATTGCAATTCTACATAGATCACAAGTATGGTATAAAACAACAAACACATATGCATCCTTTACGTCATGTTTTGATTCCACTCGTGGCTGATAAAAGTCAAACATTACATGAAGAGAAACTACACTAGACTACACTAAATAACGAACACATTGCTTCAGACATGTCTCATCAATGTACATAAAAACAATGAAAGCTACAAAACCCTTTCCAATTTATAATGCATAAAGTTTCAGTAAGCAAAACTGTCTGCAAGATTGTATGACAAGAGGGATGACCATATTTCATAACTTTCTACCACAATTTCAAAGTTCACCTTTTCGCGAACACCTGGTATCATCACTATTTGATAGTGATTCATAACACATGCTTTTGATAATGTCAAAATCATACAAAGAAGTCTGCTTTCAGCAAACATTGAATCTAAATTTGTTATGTCATCGGATCCCGATTGCGTAGATCGATGCCCATGATGTCAATCACTGGATTGTCGGGTCCAGACTCGATTATATACACACCGTCGTCATACAGCTGGAATATTACTGAGTGCGGCGTTAAACAATAAACAAACAATAGTTATATCACGACGACATATGAATAAACGGGTCTGGACTTACAGTTGATAGCATGAGCAATGTTCCATGCCATGTGGGCACACACTCAGTAGCTCGGGTATCCTCCTATTTGTCACACATTAAAACAAACCAGGACAGAGGTGTCTGCACGGCTGACCCCCTTCATCTTACCCCGCTGTTAGAATAGATTGATCCAGGCAGATAAATCAGATTGATTTGAGCATCTTTATATGTGTACTAATTCATGATTAAAACAATATTTATTTCAAAAAGGAGAATGGTATTAGTAAACAGGCAAAGCTTATTTACTTCACCCTACAAGTACATTTAGCTATTAATAAAAGTTAACTGTAATATGATAATAATAAAAAAATCATATCATATACAAGCATATGATTTTGCCAGAAGCTATCTTGCTGTAATATTTGACCTAGGTGTTCGTGCGATGACCTCTCTTGTTGGAGTACCTTTCATTTTAAGCGGTTTGGGGCTTCAAAATGCCTATGAAACAAATTGATTCAGGGGTTGTATTGTACAGTGAGTTTAAGTGGACTACTTATATCAACACTGATATATGATATGATTTAATTTATAGTGAATCTTCCAATGTGTATAAGAAATCTGAACTCCGACTCAAGAATACTAAATGGGAATATGGTAAGGGTTAGCCAATATCTACATTACATAGCTAAATAACCAATAACCAATAATACATGCTTAGGTATTTAATTCAATGTCTAACTCTCCCGGGGTAGTGATATAAAATCAATCATTGGATTGTCTGGTCCAGACCATTATTTACACGCCGCTGTCATACAGCTAAAATATTGCTGAGTGCGGGGAAAACAACAAATAAACAAAGCAAATCTACAAACAATGTCAAAGTGCGCCTATATATCTAAACATAATCGCGAAAAAACATACAGATGGACATGGCTATTTAAAACAGATGAATATTTTTTAAATGACGTTAAATCATATAAACCTAAATCTATATAGATTTTGAAAATTGCTACAAAGCTTATCATTTCAAATGACCTCTTCTACCTATTGTATTTTTCTGTACGAAACGTGTCTACAGGTGATTGCTTTTTATGGTATAAATGTTTAAATCGTAGCTGCCAGGTTGCTCGACTGATCACAATCTGCTCATGTTTCGTGGGCAACTGTCCAGTAACCCTTTGGCAAGTTAATATTTATCACAACAAGCGTTTTTCATAAATAACCATGATATTTATGTACCTTGGACTATCGATGGGTAACTTAACCCCAGGAACTTCCAAGTAACACATTTCATAGTACGTTGTAGGGTTGGAGGTTGTCTTGTGACTTTTCATTAATCTGACGTAATCATATGACGTACAATATAAGGTTAAAAATAAAGCTTGCAAAGATATGTTTTGTTTGTTGTTTAACGTCACACTCAGCAATATTCCAGCTATATGACGGCGGTCTGTTAATAATCGAGTTTGGACCAGACAATCCAGTGATTGACATCATGACCATCGATCAACGCATTTGGGATACGATGACATGCATCAACCAAATCAGCGAGCTGACCACCTGATCCAGTTAGTCGCCTCTTACGACAAAAATAGTCGCCTTTTACAGCAATCATAGGTTGCTGAAGAACTATTCCACCCCGGATCTTCACGGGTCACAAAGATATGTGAACAACAACATCATGGTTATAATAATATAGAATATATAAATTAAATGTTACCTGCCTTCAAAAATCTTAGACAAGGGTTTAAACATTCTCAACAAGGAAATTAAATAATAATATTTTACATTTGTGAAAACTCTCATTATTGAATGTTACAGCATATTTGCGTCTGCGTGCAGTAATAAAATGAGGAAGGGCTCAAGTTCTTTCCTCGACCTTCTCACTACAACTACTTCATGGTATATATATACCGTAGTGACCGTGAGATGGTGTACCCGATATAAGTGGTTACATCACTGGGTGCATTTTCTAATCAACGTATTTTATATTTCATAAACCATGCTGATATTGTAATGTATTTATAATCTCTATTGTCAAGACAAAAGTGTCACTGAACTTAACTGAAAATGGAAGAAAATGACTGAAAAATAGTTTTCCCCTTTTTAAACAGTATATTTCCTTCCCTAACGTTCTCAGACAAACAAAATCAGTTTACCTAAATGTGCGACAATATTTCAAGTTTTGAGAACCATCAATAGTTTCATTTTCCTTCTTGAACATTGTTTCATACAGGTTTTTCGTGTATAGACGTGCTGCTGAACGTGGAACTGGCAGCTCATGAAGTATATTCCACTACTAGAGGTTGCCAAGAGTCATGGCACTGCTACAAACGTGTTGGCCACATAATCACAGGTGACTCCTCTTTTGTTGACAATTAAAAACTTCGTCAGTAATTCAAATATGGACCAAGGTATCGTGAGCAGCCTCGTTCCAATTGAGATCACAACTTTAAAAGCATTACGGATGATGTTTCAGTTGGTTTCATTTTCCTTACATGTGTGGCGTGTGCTGGTGAGCGCTACTGCCCCGGGGATAGTTCCATTTGTAGATAAGACGGAGCTTTCGGTATTTTTTATAAAACAGTTAAATGGCAGACCCAGAGAGGAACCAGTAACCCCATCAGCCAGTGGGTAATTTTACGCAAGGAACTTCCGAGTTATACATTTAATAATAAGTTCCACGGTTGGGCGTTCCCGTGTGACATTTCATAAACATGACGCAATTACATGCAAAATCAAGTTGACACAAGCTGACAGTTTACACAGATATCCAAACAACAAGAAAACCAGCAGCAATAACATCAGCAACAATAATAATACAACTATTACTACTACTACTAATATTTAGAATATATCGTACCTTCAATCAAATGATGACCGATGACCAATGCACATTTTGCTCGTATGATTTTGAGTCATTCGTCACACCACACGCCCCTCTCCTTAACCTGCAAGAAGGAGTGTCCACCTGTCGGCGAATACGACAAACCAATCAGAATGCGCGTAAGGATTAAAATACAGTGATAAAAATAATCCCGAGTACCTAACTCAGTTATGGCAATATGTGACCATTTAAAAAATTGTGAAAACTATCTTTCGTCATTTCTACAATACAAAGTACACGGATAGCAGAATTGTGTAGTTTGAATTGTACTTGTAAATACAGAAAGGGTCAATGACGGTAAGAGATTTAAATGTACATCCGCGTGTTTGGTTACATCCTATTTACGGCTAATAATAGCGAAATGTATCAAGTATCCACTATTTGTTAGGCTCGTAGTCAGTGTACTGTGTCTGAGTGTGGTGGACAGTGGGTTAGCACTGTAAACAACAGGAACTTGTTATTGGTGACTTAATAAAAATGTATAACCCCTTTATGTAAGTAGAGAAAATTATCTACTTACATATAGGGGAATATATTTTTATTTACTGACCAATAACGAATTCCTGTGCTGTAAACTCGGCATTCATTAATCCGGACTAGTACAAGCAAACACACATACAGACACACACATACAGACAGACAGACACACACACACATACAGAGACCATACACACACATACAATTTTAACAACACTATACTAAAAATATAAAGGTATACATAAAATATTGCAATGATAGCTGATTTAACATATATAGATAATCATGGTAACACACACACACACACACACACACACACACACACACACACACACACACACACACACACACACACACACACACACACACACACACACACACACACACACACACACACACACACATACACACACACACACACACACACACACACACACTAACACACACACTAACACAGACATTAACACACGTGCATGCTTGTCGCGATATATACGTGTTATGATCTTGAACGCGGCGTTAAACCTATTAATAAAGAATTCTACATATCATATATACAATAATGATGCTTATTTAGTGATCAAAATTGTTTCAGTCGAGCAATGGGCCATAATGTGTCAAAAAGTGAAAAAGATCACTCGATTTGCATTTTAAATATATTACAAAACTAAAGATAATGTAACCTCCAGAGTGACAATCATGTCGTGTGATATCTCAAAATCTGCCTGAATACTTTAGGAGCTTATACAAAATTTCACAATTAATGTAGGTATAATATAATGTATGAAAATTTAGTAAATGTTATCCCACCTCCCATCCTGTTAAAAAATCAACAAATATATACTGTATTACACATAAAAAGAAATACTATGACAACAAATTGTGTTATTTGAACACATGAATCGTTTAAGTACTCACATATATGAGCTTGAGAAATTTGATTTATCCAATATGGCGGACAAAATGGCCTCCAAGATGGCCGCCAATACAGGAAAATAACAATATTTCGTCTTCACTTTGGAATGTATGAGAAATTTAAATGTCAAAATTAAGATTTTGACCAGGAACTGCATCTATCATGTCATTGTGATATATAAAAGATAATTATCGCCTATGTTATGTACTATAATTGCAGATCATATTGACTTACTTTGAAGTGTTACTGTGCAGCATTAATATGCAATTGATTCAGAATTGTCAGTAACTCATCAACAAATCCGGCACTCGTGAAGAGCAACCTCTCCGTGGTGAGTGCTGGGTAACGCTAATAGCTCTTCCCCCGTGTGGAACCGGAGCAGAATGTTGTCACGGCATTGCCTAAAAGTCGGGCCGGGCCGGGCCAAGACGGGCCAAAGTGTTACTGGCTAATTACTTCATTATCGGCGATCATACCTACATATAATTGATGCAACATACACACATGACATTAATGAACAATCACCAAACAAAAAAGTGCACCATAAATAAGTAATTCGGAGTAAATCGCTTGAAAACCAGAAAGTGGAGCAGTGTGTAAGCGTCGCTGATCTTGGTAACATGTAAAAGAGCAATCGTTAAACGAAGTAAGATTTGAAACGTATCAAATACTTCTAGCTATCGTGATACAAATTTCTATCTGTGCGCATAGTGTTTATATTTATAGGAACGTTCTATATATAAGTAAATACCACTTTATAATGTCACTGATCGTCGTCTTTAAAGCAGACACGTTGGTTAAAGAAGACCTCTTCTCCCTATACTCTCAACAGTCACACAGGTGTTCGGTCCGACTTGGCCCGGGCTGTCAAAATCAACTTAAACCTCACAGATGTATCATCAAATGGATTCACATCTATAGACTAGTGTTATATCTACCTAAATACCACTTTATAGTGTCTCAGAACGCTGTACATAAAGAAACCAAGGGGCTCAAAAGTGAAGCCCTTTTCCCTCTACATTCTCAACATAGTCTCTATCAGAAGTGTTTTGCTTGTGTTGGGTCCGACTTGGCCCGGGCGTCAAAATCAACTTTAAACACACAGACGTATCTTCAAATGTGTTTACATCTATAGATTAGTGTTATATCTACCTATGTACCACTTTATAATGTCACGGTACATCGTATTTAAAGAAAACAAGGGGCTCAAAGTGAAGCATTTTGACTGTATTTTCTTAAGAAAATCTCTGTCAGAAGTGTTCGGTCCGACTTGGCCCGGACTGTCAAAATCAACTTAAACCTCACAGATGTATCATCAAATGGATTCACATCTTTAGATTAGTATTATATCTACCTAAATACCACTTTATTATGTCACGGTACATCGTATTTAAAGAAAAGAAGGTGCTCAAAGTGAAGCATTTTTACTGTATTTTCTTAAGAGAATCTCTGTCAGAAGTGTTCGGTCCGACTTGGCCCGGACTGTGAAAATCAACTTTAAACCTCACAGATGTATCATCAAATGGATTCATATGTTTAGATTATTATTATATCTACCTAAATACCACTTTATTATGTCACGGTACATCGTATTTAAAGAAAACAAGGTGCTCAAAGTGAAGCATTTTTACTGTATTTTCTTAAGAAAATCTATGTCAGAAGTGTTAGGCCCGAAAGTCTATTTAGGATTTAAATTGTGATTAAGGAAGTAGAGGGTAGAGAGAGAGAACAAGATAACAAATCTTAGCAAAACCTACCTGCCAAACAAGTGCTAGTTCGTTCGTATCCGTAATCCGTCACAAACTGTGATGAACGCATAGTGTGTTCGATGAAGGAAATACAGCCCTTCAGATCTTTGTTTACTGAATACACCTATGACCTATGTTCAGTGATATAATTTATAAGATATTGAAGCTACATGGCCGCCCATAGTTTCTTGGAAATGTCCTGGCTACACTTCAAGGTTTCGTGCTCAACAAATATATATGAATGTATATGATGTGCCATCTTGATGTACTTTAGTAATGCAATTCGACAAAGAAGATGTACAGATGCCTCGACAGCATTTTTGGCAGTCAAGTACAAGTACAGGTAAACATGGCTATTAATGCTCATGTGTGTCAGGTTGCCCTTACCTCGCCGTCACATCTGTACACAAAGCAAGTGCATAGTCTAAACTGTGCTACATTTGCATTTCTTTAGCCGTTTACAGATGCCTCGACAACATTTTTCACACATGAATGACTTCAACCTTGGCTCTCAACTAGTACAGGTAAACATGGCTATTAATGCTCATGTGTGTCAGGTTGCCCCAACCTCGCCGTCGTATCTGTATACAAAGCAAGTACATAGTCTAAACTAGGCTACATATGCATTTCTTCAGCCGTTTCAATAATGCAGTGCGCTGTCACAGCATGCTGCGTAGGTCTGTACAGCACAATGTATTTTATTAGTAATTAGTCGATCCTTCATAAATCAAATTTTTGCCATTCATTTCACATATGCCTCGGTAGATTGGGGTAGGGGAAGGACTTCTGGTCAGATAACAAGGTATTCAGATATCCAGAAACTCGCTTATGCGGACAAATTTTTAGAAAAAGCAATTGTCCGGATAAGCGAGGTTCGACTGTTTAGCGCGTGATACATGACAAAACAAAAAATGTGTTAGGACCTGATTCGCACTTGCTGAAGGGATATCAATGGACCCTGATCATAATACATTGGTTGCTTATTATTATTATTATTATTAAACATATTGTATTGTCCAAAAAGACAAAGGGATTGGGCACAAGTGCAGCACTTATTACCACCTTCTCCCTATATACAGTTATACATAATATTGCAAAATGAAAATTAACAATTTACAGTTGAAGCATCACATTGTGGAAACATAGTGCGCAATATAAATTTATATACAGTGCTCATATGAAGGATATGTACAATGTGCTGGAAAGTGAAGACAGTGTGCATCTCATACATATGCTAACATTATACATGTTATAGTGTTGTATACAGGTTTAACAATATTAATGATTAACAGTTTGGAAACAATAATATGCTAGCTACTGAATCTGTTAGTCGTTTCTATAAATTTGTGTACAGACAAGAATATTTTTGTATTCAGGAAAACAAGTTTGGATCACAAAAAAAGAATACTATTTAGAGGTTTTTTTCCTCCAAGATTATCGATAGCTGTCAGTAATGTCTCCCTAATATCATCATATAAGGTACATTGGAAGAAGAAATGGAATGAATTTTCACAAGGAGCTCCGCGTTTACAGGAAATAGTATCAGATAATTAACACGAAACAGGTTGTGTCATTGACTAAAATCTGCTTTGTTAATTTGATTTCAAGTGATAGCCTTCACCTGGCAGGAATATATATTTGTATTATTTCAATTTTTCTTTTCATATATATCCCTCTGAATTTTGGGTTTTGAAATAGCATGTCGCAGAAATAACTCCTGTTGGACCCTTAGACTTGCAAGAATACTCTAATCATTGGCCGAAACATGCCCCATTTGTGCTTCTTGCCTTGTCAGACCAAACCCATACTGTTGAATTTCTCAAAAGCTTTAAAAGGGTTAAAGCTATTTTTGGAAGTATAAATGGGTTGATTGGTGACTACCACAGAAGAAGCAAATGGAGTTATGTCCGATGAAATTCTCTGTTTTGACTTGTGCTAATCCGGTTTAACAACTAACTTGCCTTTGCGTGTGTTTGTTCCACCGGTGGTGCAGGTTACGCTCACCTCTATGCAAACACCTGTTATCCTCACTGTTTGATAGTAGTTTATACACGTCAGTATGTATAAGTTTTATGTCATCTTAATATATCACTTGTGTTATCCCTACTTTTGGGGTGTACTACAAACATAAATCAAAGTTTCTTTTGAGCTATCATGAATATCATAAACTACTTAGCAAGTCTATGCTTATCATTCCCTCTACTCCTACCAAAGGCTCTAATTGTGGCTAATTGTTACATATTCTTCACGAATACTGTAAATCATGAAACGTGTAACCAAATTAATGCGAGTTTAGACCGCTGGCTAGACTAACATCTAGTTTCTGAAATGAACATATTTTACAAAAATAAAAACAATTGTTTGATTATATTGATAAAATATATAACTGCAGTAATCTAGTCTTGTCAAATATGATTGACTTGCATCGGCTGTATTGGATATATTTGTTTCAGGAACTGTATGACAGGCCTAAAATGCGTCACGAAAGTAATGCGATTAACTTTGCTTTTGACCAGTAAAAGCTAACCAGCAAACGAAAACACGGCGTTGTTTACAATGAACGCATGTCTAAACAAACATCCTTTTTTATATACTTAAGTAGAAGTATCACGATGGACAGTGCATACAACTGTTTGGCAAACAATATCAAGCAATATTTTAGATTCAGAATCAACATACCATGACATAACAGAAACATATATATTAAATTGTATATATTCATATTTGCCGCTATTCACGATAAATTTATTTTACCGTCACTGTTTAAAACTAATCTAAACTACTTGTATGTATAGATCATCTTATTTGTAAACAGTAGGCGGACGTATTATATATCTAACAGTTACAAAAGTCTGCTGAAATCTTCTATTTCTTTATTATGTAAAATGCTGTCAACATGAATAAATGCCAATTATTTCATAACACTCCAAATATAGTTGTCATAATGAACATAGTTTTAAAGTATATTTGTCACATGCAATAATACTGTCCGGTCTTATTAGTAATATTTTCAATATCAACCACATATTGTGAGAATCCAGTAAAAAGGAACTGAGTAAAGCAGTGGTAAAATCTATCCATATATACAAAATTGTATGTTTTTGGATATACCATATATACAAAATTGTATATTTTTGGATATACCATATATACAAATTGTATATTTTGCATATATTGGAATCTTCCCTTGTGATACTTTCACTGGCCACTGACAAAGATTAGCAGTATTAGAATAAGAAACTAAATTAAATCCAGTATGACGTGATGATGTGTAAGCATACAGAAAACTAAGAGAGCCCAACTTACTTCAGTTTCTGTACCGTACTTGCGCTTACCTCCTTTTGCATCCTGCGTATCATTCAACCTGTCGGATCGACTTGTCCCGGGTGGTTAATAATCTTAAACATCACGACTGTAATACAAAGTTGCTTACTTACTTACTTACTTACTTACTTTGGAGATTTAACGTGCGCTTTCCGACTGATGCATATTTCGCACACGGGCCCGGCCAGGCCATTTAATGTGTTTCCGAAAGGTGCGAAAGTGGTGTGTGCAACCCAAGAGGGGGCTTTAGGGGTTGCTTATATAAAAAAAGGCCAGATATATAGAGAACTTCAATTTATGGCGTCTATTAACCATCACGACAATAATACTGAGTGGTCCAAGTCAGGTTCAGGAGAAGTGTGTTTTCACAGAACGAGCTGCTCGGAGATGCAGCACGTATTCTCGCGGTATGGCAGATTACAACTGTCTCAGATAATCCTGTTTTCCTAAACACACTCATAGATAATAGAAGCATTAAGCAGGGTTGAGGGAGAGGTTTATCCTGAAATGCAAAGTCTCACCTTACCTTCTCCCTGTGAGTATGATCCTTGAAAAAAACCACGACGGATTAGGTAAAAGCAAGGGATTTTCCGACCAGACACATACCATGAAAAAAGGGCTTCACTTTAAAGAGTATACTTCACTCAAACACATTTGGTGAAATTTTCTTGAGAAGATACAGTGAAAGTGCTCGACTTTAACAGACCAGTTTTCTTTGAGTTATCCTGCAACATTATTAAGTGTTATATAGGTAGATATAATACTAGTCATGTTGAGAATGTAGAGGAAAAAGGGCTTCACTTTGAACTCATGGTGTTCTTTAAATGCGATAAACTGTGACCTTATAAAGTGGTACATAGGTAGATGTAGCACTAATCTATGGATGTAAACACATTTGAAGATAGATCTGTGTGTTTAAAGTTGATTTTCACAGCCCGGGCCAAGTCGGACCCAACACTTCTGACAGAGATTTTCTTAAGAAAATACAGTCAAAATGCTTCACTTTGAGCCCCTTGTTTTCTTTAAATACGATGTACCGTGACATTATAAAGTGGTATATAGGTAGATATAATACTAATCCAAAGATGTAAACACATTTGAAGATACGTCTGGTGTGTTTAAAGTTGATTTTGACCGCCCGGGCCAAGTCGGACCCAACACAAGCCAAACAGTTCTGATAGAGACTATGTTGAGAATGTAGAGGGAAAAGGGCTTTTCTTTGAGCCCCTTGTTTTCTTTAAATACGATGTACCGTGACATTATAAAGTGGTAAATGGGTAGATATAACACTAATCTATAGATGTAAACACATTTGAAGATACGTCTGTGTGTTTAAAGTTGATTTTGACCGCCCGGGCCAAGTCAGACCCAACACAAGACAAACACTTCTGATAGAGATTATGTTGAGAATGTAGAGGGAAAAGGGCTTTTCTTTGAGCACCTTGTTTTCTTTAATTACAGCGATCTGAGACATAATAAAGTGGTATTTAGGTAGATATAATACTAATCTAAAGATGTAAATCCATTTGATGATATATCTGTGAGGTTTAAGTTGATTTTGACCGCCCGGGCCAAGTCGGACCGAACACTTCTGAGAGAGATTCTCTTAAGAAAATACAGTAAAAATGCTTCACTTTGAGCACCTTCTTTTCTTTAAGTACGATGTACCGTGACATTATAAAGTAGTATATAGGTAGATATAACACTAATCTATAGATGTAAACACATTTGAAGATACATATGTGTGTTTAAAGTTGATTTTGAAAGCCAGGGCCAAGTCGGACCCAACACAAGCCAAACACTTCTGATAGAGACTATGTTGAGAATGTAGAGGGAAAAGGGCTTTACTTTGAGCACCTTGTTGTCTTTAAATACGATGTACCGTGACATTATAAAGTGGTATATGGGTAGATATAACACTAATCTATAGATGTAAACACATTTGACGATACATATGTGTGTTTAAAGTTGATTTTGACAGCCCGGGCCAAGTCGGACCCAACACAAGACAAACACTTCTGATAGAGACTATGTTGAGAATGTAGAGGGAAAAAGGCTTCACTTTGAGCACCTTGTTTTCTTTAATTACAGCGATCTGAGACACTATAAAGTGGTATTTAGGTGGATATAATACTAATCTATAGATGTGAATCCATTTCATGATACATTTGTGAGGTTTAAGTTGATTTTGACCGCCCGGGCAAAGTCGGACCGAACACTTCTGACAGATTTTCTTAAGAAAATACA